ATGTGTTCCATATGTGTTTGATCCAATGACCGGGGTAGTAATGTGAAGCGCTTAGAGGCCTTGTAAAGGCATGAAGCGCTATATAAGAACGACATATTATTATTATTATTATTATTATTATTATTATTTAAGGCCAGACTCAAAACTCATCTTTTCTCATCAATCTAATTGTTTTTCCTTTTGTTGATGGTTTTTATTATTCTTTTTCCTTTGTCACTCCTTCATCTTGTTTGTTTATCGTATTGAACTTCTTTTTCACATTTGTTGAAAGCGCATACACACTGAGTAGTATGCGCTTTATAAGTCTACATCCATTAACATTACCATTAATTGCTACCGGTATGTCATATAACACGTCAACCTTGTTCTTATTATTATGTCTTGACTTAATCATTATTATATAGATTGATATAATTATATGTGGTACTTATTGTATTGCAATACATACAGGCTGCTAATAAATAATACTTAATACATATTTTCTATATTATTATAACAGTTTATAAGTTAATCAATGCTTACACTGTTGTTGTTGGTTCCAGATCAGACAATGCACCATTTTCAATATTCTCAATAGGATTATTAAATATATAGCTAGAAGACAGAAAATTGTTTTAATTGAAACTGGTTGCTTAAATAATCTAATTATCAATCGTTTATAAAGTAATGAAAATAATAATGAAGTATATATAAATATAAATATAAATAATATGATTGAATTGTACAATATCGTAGTTTAAGCTTGAAGAGCAGTGCCGTGCCGATGCGCCATTATTCCATTGACGGTTACCGTATTGGCGCACAACAAAATTAATTCATCCGCAAAGGAGGTTATGTTTTACATTGGATTTTTTTTATGTGTGTAAGTTTGTCAGTTTGTTTTATTTTCCTTTTACATGTATTCTTACTTCATAATTTTTCATGATTCTTTTTTTTTTCTTTTTTTTTGGCTTTTTAACATCAGTTATGGCAATGAGGAAAAGCTTTTAGTTCTGTTTTACAAACAGGCATAGTAAATTCGGTTGTTGTTGCTGCTGTTGCTGCCGCTGTTGCTGCTGTTTCTGTTGCTGCTGCTGTTGTTGCTGCTGTTGTCGCTGCTACTGCCGTAGCTGCATTGTTGTTACTTACAGGTATTTAAGTGACCCGATCCGTACGTTGAACATCTTATATGATATTTTCGTTAGCCTATTTCCGTAGATGAAGCTAGAAAAACGAGAACAATTTAATTTTATCGATATTGAAGCTACAAATCTAAGGAAAACTCAATGAAAGTTGACTTTCCAAGTAATCATGTACCAAGCCAAATAACTTTAATAGATAATTCATTCAAACGCTTGCACACCAGCAACGCAATTTTACTTACATAGACCGGAGGCTGGTTCCACTGAAAGATCCACCTTCTATATATGATATCTCATTGTGATAAAGGAATCTTTAATAATTGTAAAAAGTATAAGATGTTTATCAAATCATTCTCGTAGCAATATACTAGCAATCAATAGCCATCGTAGTTTATAACGTAATTATATGTACAACAAATGCCAAAACACAACTATTTTGTTTATATAATTCCCATCCAGGCTGTTTACAATTTGTATTGAGAAACATACATATCAATAATGAACAAAAATAATGAGGAGAAAAATATCATGATAATAAACATACTTGCAGTGATGCTATAAGTATTTTGTATATTTTTGCACTTATAGATCACTCTTCTTTAAAGTCAATAATGCATATATTATTATAGTATTACTGCATGACGGTTTAGAGTTAATCTCTATATCGTGTTATGATTTAAACATTGTATTTACCCTTCTTTAAGGATTTATATATATATAATTTATATATATATAAATTATATATATAAATCCTTATATATATAATTTATATGTATATATATATATATATATATTTATGTATATTATATCGTAGTATATACACATTTTTATTTCCTTTAACTTACATCACTTCCAGACTTTCCAACTGACAGAAATGATTTTTAAAAATATACCGAATGTTATTTTTTGCCAAAAGTATTTCTTTTGCCGAGTCAACAATGACGCTTCTATTTGGTTGAGAACTTAGGTCGATAGAATTAAGAGTCATCCTTCTGAAGAAAAAAACATTTATAAAAATATACACGACAGAAATAATAATTTAATCACTAACTATTTTGTCTGTTATTATAACATAAAACGGAATTTTATTAGAACGACATGTTCTTCATCTTATATGTAAAGCTAAATATATATATATATATATATATCAGTTGCCTGACGATCGCAATAGCGTGAAACTCCGAGTAGCAACATTCTGTTCCAGCGACCTCCAGTTCTATATATATATATATTATAGTTCACGTCATTATATTGTTATATTTTACAGTATTATATAATGTATGTCATATCTCATATTATATTTTATATAATCTTATATTTTTTCATGCCATTTTTGATAAGTTATGCGTCTACTTGACCTTTTATTACTATCCTTATTATTTTTATTAATATTTTTTTTTTATTATTATTATTATTATTATTTCTATTAGTAGTAGTAGAAGTAGTATTATCTCCATTTCTTGTGTCTCCGGCTTCTGTACATTTTATTTTGTTTCATTTTCATTTTTGTTTATAATAGGCCTATTTCATTGTTTACCGTTCCTTTGTTTTGTCACACTTACCAGCTATTGATTTATGCCTATTTGCTTCTGTCAGACTTAGGGCCTCCTTATAAACTACGGTATTGCTAGTGATAAGACCATGTGACCTTTTGTTTATAGACCTGGTGCTTGGTCACCCATTGTATAGAATTGTATATTCTGTTAAGGTTTTCAACGATACTCAAGCACTGACGAAGGTAACAGGAGCCTGCCGAAAATTTTGCAAATAAATATTTATATGTCTCCTATAAGTCAAAGTATCGTAGCAGTTTATTGTGTCTACGTTTGCCTATATATATATATATATATATATATATATATATAT